GTCCAGTACCTTTTATGTCGGTTGTAAACGGAAGCGTCACTAGTAGAGCAATAGAGGTACAAATCGTGACACAAGCAGCAGAGGGCATTTTGTCGCGCATGTTCTGTAAATTTTAGCTTGATGCGAGAAACCGCGGGTATGCACTTGCGTCGGTCTTCCGCTCAAGAATCGCAGAAGAAAAGAAGCAGGAAAATACGTCGGAAAACAACAATGGATCGAGTATTTGAGAAATTGTGAATTAAAACAAGTACTAGTTTAAGCTTCCAGTTGTAGTATGAACTGTTAAATAAATCAGTTATTTCCCAATAAAAAGCATATTCATTTATCATTTCAACTGCACAACAATACTATATACACTCTTTCCAACCTTATACTCCAACCTATTAAACTCCAAGAGTTATATGACAATTCAGTGGTCTGAAAAGACTCTTATTACATGCCAAACAACAAAGAAACAGAAGGGCTCACATTTAATAGTGAGGATAAAGACAAAATATTTCCAAAAGCCTTTTTTCCTGGGAGCAGGATTAAATAAGGTCAGATTGAACTAATGTGGAGAGGTTTGTTGATCTCTATATGAAAATGGATGATTTACATCTATCAGATTTTAGAGAAATGAGACTAAAGTCAAAAGTGGAAATTGACATTGCATATTCTGCAGTTATGGGCAATGACTTTGATACCTATTTGGGGGAAACTTATAGTTTTCTTGCCAGGGGTTTGGCTGCGTCAATTTTAAGGCAGACGGATGATATATCAATCACTTAAGAAATTTTACAGCTCTCACTGGAAGCTCAGCACTCTTAAGGAACAAGACAATACTTCAACTGATCACTCCTTATATTCTTTTCCAATAAAATTTGGACAAAACTTTCAAAAATTTATTGGTAATTTTGCAGTTGCGAATAAGGTATAGACACAAGTTACATATAGCGTGAGCTAGTCAAGGCAAGTTGCAAGGAGAGAAAAAAAGATTGATCATCTATACCAGTAGTAAGCTTCTGGTACTATTACATTCTCTTGAATACCAGCTAGGCGCAGTACATCTCACACCTATCCATTCTGTCAATAGTACCAACTATATATGTAGTTGGATCACATCACATCTCTCTAAACATCAAAGAACATAAAAGTTAATTCCTATCATCAGTCTCCATTAAGAAATAAAAATTGAAGGATCGCAACATTTCTGGCAAAGTGAAATGCAAGTCAAACTGGTTTGAAGACATTTTAACGTGAAATTCGTTTTTAAATATGACAGAAATACTTTAGTTAACATAAATCAACTCAATCCTGAAGCTGGAACATTTTTTAAAGCCTTGTGTCCTAAGTGACCACAAAAAGAAAGAAAAGACGATGTTATTTGAAGTGATTTGAAGCTTGGGGGCCACCTCGAGCTTAATGTAATTTTATTTCAAAGTTGAAGTAAAATAAGATCAAATTGTAAACTACCTTCTATTATCGTAACGAATATCTCACGATCGTTTCCACACACACCTTCGTGATTTATAGAAGTAAGACATCAACATCTTAAGACTAACCTTGAAGATTTGTAGTCTCATATGCACATCTTGATCGTCAGTAAATCAAATCTCAAACTTCCAGTTTTCGGCCTTTATTTGCCTTTTGTTCGCACTTTGATCATTAAAGTATCCATATCCGAAGAGCCAGCAAATTCCACGAGTATTCACAGAGTTAGAAACAGTGGCAAACTTGTCATAATCTTTCATCCCTCTCCAAAAAAATTGACAAAAAGGTGTCGATCACCCAGTTGAAAACCCGCGGAAGCGCGCTGAAAATATCGAAATGGCGGCGAACAAATTTTATTGGCGCATGCGCAGACGAAATACCCCTCTGCTGACACAAGCACCCTTATTAGTAGCTAACTCGTGTACTAGAGAGATCAGGGCTGTTCGTGTCTGCAACACACTTGTAATGCACCATGAATGCAAAAGAAATCTTCATTGTCACGGCCGACGACTGTAGCTTACGACTTCAGATGCTTCAAACAGAATCTGTCCGGCGGGTTTACTATCAGCTGTTGCAACACAAATCGATCGAAACAAAGTCCCAGAAAATGATTATTTTTCTCCTTATTATGGATATAACTGAAATTTTTTGGATGACTAGAAGCATATTATGCTACTATATGGCAGAAAAAAATTAAGAATGTAAGATGTATGAACTTTAGGCTTAAACTTAACGTGAGAACTTAACTTAACGTGAGAATCTGTTCAGGCTCATTATTCAGTGCAAATAAATATTTAACCTTCATTTGAATGTGCAACGTTTTTCTGCGGTAAAGATTTGTAACCCATTTTTCGTGGGCTTTCCAATAATCAGTCCTCAGCAACACACTTGTAGTGTACCATGAATGCAAAAATAAGCTGCATTGTCCACGGCCGACCACTGCAACTTACGACTTCATTTGCTTAAAAAAGAATCTGTCTTGTGGGTTTGCTATTAGCTGTTGCGAGACAAATCAATCACGACAGACAACAAGAAAACGAATGAATTATTTCCTTGGTAGCGTTATCACTATTAAATGTAATTGTCGACCAAAAACATATCATGTCATAATACAATGGAAAAAAGAGAATATATGAGAATGTACCGATAAAAGGTTCTAAATTTTACATGCAGGTCTGTTCCAGACCATCGACTAAGAACAAATAAGTATTTTGACCTCACCAGTGACTTGTTCCTGTCATGACTTGTAATGTTTTCCCCAGACCTCTCAATTAAAATTCACTGATGCAGATTTTGACTGCATCGTAAATTCACCGAAACTATTGTTTTGCCTCATCGTTGGAACGAATCACCGATTAAAAATAACTTTACTTTCAATAGTGAGATGACAAGTGAGTTTGAATTCCTAGATAAATTAAAGTATCATAATGAAATGCGTTTGCATCGCGAATCCAGTCGAACTTATCGCCGGAACAAGATATTCACTAGGCGGATCGGAAGTGACCGCATCGTGACACAAACGATCATACTCCTCCATGAATAGTTTCACCATAGTGACCTTTTTAATAAAACTAACATTTTAGCACTTTATGAAAGAAACATCGAGATTCACTTGTAAAAAGATCCAGAATTTGGAGGTTACTGACTTGCGCTTGTTGTTAACAGTCTGATATTGAGAGGAGACATGCAAATGACCAAGTAACTAGATCACAATGGCGAAAAAAAAAATGTAGCCAGAGATAAAAATTTACTGATGAGATCAGGTTTTCCTGGTCTAAAACTCTCAGACGGATTGAAATAGCCAACTACTTCCCCTTTTCTATTAAAGTCAATATCGATATAAGCAATATTAATATTCTCCAAGTCAAAAACAGGTATTTAAATCGTTATATGAATTTTGTTCCGTATTTACGTTAGTTATATCAAATATATATTGATTGCGTTTCTTCAAAAACAGAAAAATGTTTTTCTTCAGACTCTTTTAAAAGGAAACAACATTTTACCTCTGCGGTCACGAAAAAGCATCCATTTTGAATGAAGGTGCACAGAGTGTAAGTGAAATCATACACAGCAAAGGTTTGCAGTGCAAAACCATTAACGATACATATTTTCATAGGAAGCCTGACTCGACAAAAATAGTTAAATATCATGAATATTATTGCATGCTTCTGTCTTGAATATCTTTATCACTTCTTACTTATAATCTCAAAAAAAGTCCTGTGATAATACCACCAAGAGAGTGGGTTGCATCGGGAACTAAAATTTCCCAGATATCAGCTCTCTTTCCTTTAATTTTTCATAATCCCTGAAGTTATGCTCAGTTCAGTGGAAACTTTTTGTATTTTGGGCAGCCCTTTGCTCCATTAAAAAGTTTGAACACCCTTCTATTCATTTTCTTTTCCCTTCAGTTGCCGTGCGTTTCACCATGTTCGCGTATAGGTTTAGCGAGTAGAATCGGCTAAATTCTCCTACGTTATGTTGGTCACGTCAATGTGTAATAGCAAACCTAGAACATTACTACTGCTCACGATGATCTCTCATCTGTAAGCAATGCTGCTTTTGGAAATGCCTGTGGTAGTTCGATTTAAAAAATTTTGGTGAAAGCTCACAACTCAATTGCTGTATAATTTTGAGCTTTTGAGTTGTATAAGTATATAAACATATGCTATATCAATTTGGTATTTATAGGCAGTTTATTTAACTTAATTCATATACACATCTGTTGAAGATAATGTTTAAAGCCAGATGATTGAAATTAGATGCAAAGTATTCCGTTGTCGTCTTAATTAGGTAAAATGTGAGAGGCGAATTAAATCGAACGAAGTTTATCACTTCTCCTAATTTTTTTGTCTTTCCCAATTTTTACTGTTTTCAAAATGAGTCTATTCAGAATTTCCTTTTGTTATTCCCCATAGAAATCGTACTAAACTAAAGCAAAATTGGAAATATGAAAATTAGAAGGAATAGGTCGGCAGATTTTAAGTCAAGATAAATGAGAGAATTCTAACGAAAATAGAGTTTATAGATTATTGGGTATAAAGACAAACAGAACATTTGAAGAATGTTCTGTTGTAAAAAATCCTAAAACTGCTTTCTCCTTAAATTAAAGTTGGAAGTAAGCTTTCTCATTAAAACTTCAAAGGGGTAGATAAAAGTAAAAGTTTTGCTACAAGTACAGTCACCTGATTGAGATTGATTGATTGCCCTAAATTCAAAATGAGGCACATCTTTTCTCACTGTAAATTCGGCCCAAAAAATGGTCGATAAACGAACTAGAAATGATAGAAATATAAACGAGGAGTATTTGGCAAGATGATTCCTGCACAGAAATCAATATCATGATCATGGTGTCACTGAATAGATTTTCGATTTCTCCGAAATGGTATCTAATTAAAGCATAGCTTATTAAACTAAGAATACATCTCTTCCATGCCACAAACTTTTGATCAATGGCGATTTTGTGCATTAACAAACAAAACCGAAATGTCGTGAATGATGTATCAAAACACAAACTGGTTAAAAGCCAACGGTTAATCCTCCATCTTCCAGACAAAGGCGACTTCTAACGTCTTTTGCGTCCACATCCAGTAGTTCCCGCATCTGTTAAATAACACCTGATGAGTGTACATCACGGGCTTACAGCGGGCATCACAACCGTCACAAGTGGCTTTGCTCAGAAACCTCGGAACGGTGTTAACAAAATCAACAACTGACATGTTGAATGGACATATATCGGAACTACGCTGCTTGACGGAGGAGTGGAAGTCTCTCCTGTTCCTTCCAAGATTCTTTGATAAAGCCGGTATATTCATTTGTTGAGTTGTCGGTGGATTCGATGGTGGCACGATAAGGTAACCATTCCGGTGGATGAAGCGCAGAACGTCCCTTGCGAAGGAAGCTTTAGTGCGTTGAATGGTACCTGCACTGGCTATCTGGAGACAGTTCGCAAGACCTCTCCAGGCTTTTAACTTTTGTTTTCTTTTGAACAACTTTACGGAACAAGTACTTGCTTCAAGCATCCCAAGGACAACCTGTAAATGAATAAATGAAAATCTGCATTTAAGCGCATTGTGTGATCTCTAGCAAGAGTAGTTCTGAAAAAGCCTAATCGGCTGCAAATGGAATTCATCTGCAGAGTCAAATTAAAAGTTCATAAACAGTGAGATTTTAGACTTATGGTTTAAAGTTATCATTAAATAACAGTAGGTGCCAAAAGATCTTCTCACTAAGTCTTAGACAATAGTAGCGAACGAGTTTTTAAATCAGCTTAAGCAGTTGTTGTACAAGGAAAAAAGAGTGAAAATATAAAGATGTCATCTAACTTCAATTTAAATTATTTGGTTCACAGAAAATTACTTGTCCAAAATATATTCTGAACTTACCACAAAAAGGGCTTTAGAGGACATCTTTCAAAGCCTGAGTAATTGCTCGTTGACGACTTCAGTTCTCGGTGATCGATACAGAGAAAGCTGTGGTCGACGACTGAATTTATAGTCCACATTTTGGCTGATATTGGTGCACAAATGGCTTTTTATGACTTCTATGATTTACACGATATTTTTAAACTATATATTTGGCCGAAAGAAGAATTGACTGACTCAGCAAGGTTGTAACTATAGAGACAGTTAATAGTTTAGAATCAAAACTACCGAAACGATGATTAAGCAAGACAAGCACGCGATGTTTTTCTTTCCCAGTGAGGTAGTAGATTATTTCTTGTCAAAAATATTTCTTGTGGAAAGCAAAAGTAGAGAAACGAAAAACCTCCGGGAAACTCAATGCACATGTTCCAAAATGGGAATTTAAACAATGTTTTAGAACTTTTAGTGTCATTAGGTATCTGTTCTGTTTTAGAACCCCTAAAAACATAAGCAACTGAAAACCTTGAAACAGGAGTAATTAGGGGTTTCCCTGAGGTGGATACCTGACATTAAAATTGTACTGTACAAGAATTAAAAGACAATAAGTACCACGCAAAATTAAACTCAAGTGCCCAAGAAAAGGGGTACAGAGTCATCGATTAAGTTAAGCTAAGAGGCTGATACAAAAGGTTCTTGATGTTGCGAGATCACATGTGAAACGATCAAAACAATCAGTCCACAATGAAACAACCCACTCTTTTTTTGCGTATTGGTTCTCCTTGTTACCTTTCACTATATGATCAAAATTCCTGCGGTTAGACGTACTTTGTAGTCTACCAAAACGTGAATTGAATATGTAAGTAATTGTTCGTCGCAATTTTTTTTCTTGTCTGCTCCGACAAAAAAAGTGCAACTTCAGCAACAAAACAAATGGGAATAAAAGTTGAATTAATTGTGCCTTGTAAGGCATATTCTAAACTTTTAACTATTATCCGACAGCACAGTAGAGTATAAATACGCGCGAATAGAGTACAAGTATTATACGACATCGTACAGTTGGTTACTTTGTACTGTAAAAAAACCTGTTTAAGTGATCGGCTGCGCGCACTACGCTTTTTTATCCGCTTTGCTTTTCCAGCCTTAGAAGAAAAAAAAAGCAGTTGGATAATAAGTAATCTATTACACGTTTTGGTGTGTAGCATCGCTGAATATTTTCACTTGTTGTTTGTATTTTCTCGTCTTACGGGCTCGTCAAAATGCGGCACAACTCGTAAATATACTTAGCGATACTACACATTAAAATGTCTAATAAGATAAATATATTTCTATTTTCGTTTTGCTTTATGTTATTGGTATGAACACATCAGTCGAATTGAAATATTGCTTTCTGATGAGCTATCTTTCCGCACAATTTGTCTTTTGGTTACTTTCTCGGATGGTCACTCGAGTGATCAATTTTTCAAATCCTACATCTTTCAGTTTGCCGAAAACAGAATTAAAAAGTTTATTTGAAACTAGAAGGATTATAATTTTAATTAACTATTTTTATTCCTCAAGTATTTGTTCAGTTACTCTCCGTGGCGCTGTATGTATTAATAATGAACTCTAGCATTCAAGGAAATATGATGTGCTGGCCAATGCTTGTCTCGTTTTCATGTCAACAATTTACATGTATTCCATTTTGGCACAACCAAAAGTTTTGTTTTCAACTCTTGTGATAGCGACGAACAAGGCTCTCTGAATTGGTCAACCTTCGTGGGCAAGTACTTCTGAGTCTGGTACGTTGAGCATTATGTTGATAATTTTCTCTCCTTACTTTTAAATAAAAGATACATTTACATGTAATGTGAAAGTATCTCGTGATTACGACATAACTAAAGCAGTGTCTTGGACTCTTATAACTCAGAATTATGTGTGTGACAGAATAAATCATCTATTTTTAAGACTCCTTTCTAGACTGTGGGGAAACGCAGCATTTTGACTTGGTGTTGGCACCTAGGGAATTCATCGCCGAGGCGGGGCGGGGGATTTTTGCGGGATCACATGGTTTTCAGGTTGATCACATGATTTTCAAAGGGAACGAAGCAATAACTAAGACCGGCCCTAAAGTATCTTTCATCCCTCAATACCATTCTTAGCAAAAGCGGAAATTGGCTACTTCAGATGAAATAATTTTGAAAAGGAAGCAGAACACAAGTAAAAAGAAGATGTGTTTATCCGCTACTCATCAGTCCACTTCATCGCTAAAAGTGAAGCAAAAGACCACCTCGTAGATCATCTTAACAGGATGCCAATCAAAAAGCGCTATTTGCGACGGCTTGTTGTGGCTTGCTTTAGGCGGTTTAAATCTAGAACATGCAAATTTGCCTTTTTTTACTGATGCGGCTTCGAAAATTTTTCACAATATTTTTCATGCTTTGTTGGTTGCTAACTCTCCGCTGAATTTAAAATGTACAGCAAATCGATATCTGCATCGGTTTTAGCAGTTTTCATTTTTATTAAATCACACTTCAGTAAGTCATTACTCCCATTTCTATTTCGGAAGGGAAAACTATATCCTTCATTCGACTCGGGGAGTGTTGTACAGAAATGATACATCAGTTATGCAGTCACTTCTTCTTAAAGGAAGTTTTTCATCGAAACCTGTCCCAACTAACTGAAAAAGGGCTGTAATTTATTCTCCTGTGCGGTTAAAAATATTGTTTCTTCGTAAATTTGGAGTGAGCAATTTAACAGCAAAGATCGCAGAATTAATTTGCCTATCAACATGCTTTCCTTTTTTTCCATAATTTTCTTCAGAATTTGGTCTCTAATCAAAATGCACTCCCTGGTTGATACTCGCCCTCAATTCTCTTAACCTGCCTGATTAATAACATACTCATATCGTAAGGAGAATTTTCTTATTGGTCACCACTACGTTAAAAAGGGTTAACATTTAAGCTTCGTTGTCGTGGATATTAACGGAAAAGCGGGTGGTCGAAACACTGATAAGAAGTGAAGTAGAGAATATTGATTTCTCTTCACTGGACTAACGGTTAGTTTCACCTTTTACTTGCCTGTTAGATTTTGCTTGAAAAGATTGATTTAAAAAAGGGTTCTCTAAGTCACAGGTAATTAAGCTCTTGCCTTGGGGTAAAAAGTCCATTAAAGGTTGAAATAATAGCGTGCGGTTTCAGCTTAATCAATCTTGTTTACTGTTTCAGTGATACGGTTGACTTGCCCAATCTTTTATACGGTTCACTGACTCATCGACAGAAAACGGAAAAGAACTTGTGTATTTATGGGGGCTTGAAAAAGTCTTTTTTTAATGACAAAATTTTTATTCTTAGCTGAAGAATAACATGAAAAGATAATGTTTTGACGAACTTGTTAAATACTGAAGGATACCTTACATACACACAGACCATTCCAAAAATAGACTGCAACGGATGAACACTGACTCAAATCCCATACCACTTCCATAACCGTTCAGTTTCGAGAGGGTGTCTTAAGATGGTTTTCCCCCTAAAACACTTAGCTATTTAAATCAATTAGCGTTGCTGTTATCTTGAAGCAACCTAAAAGAAAATACAATTCGATTGCGTCAAGATGTACCAAGGAGCGCTGAAACCAAACGGTGTTAAACCCCTAGAAACAGGGAAAAATATGTATATTTTTGGTTTATGGAGAGTATATAGCGAGGGCCTAAGCGCCTGTCTTTTAGTGAAGATTCGAAGAAATCTGTTTTCTGGAAGAATCTGAAGAAGTACAAAACATAAAATGGTCAACTTTGTACTACAGGTATGATCTGAGGCTACCTCTTCTTATTTTTTAACCCAATATTTTTTCCAAAAATGTGCGGCTACCCTGAAAAGAGAGAAGTTGGATTTTATTTACAAGTTTCCAATCACTTTATTTACAAGTTATGTAGCCTCTACCACGGCCTGCACGGGAAATCGACGTCAAAAATGAGCAAAATCTTTAGCTGTCACAGCCTTTACAATCGCTAAATCAATTTCAAATTATATTATCGTCGTCATGTCGTCAATAGTTGCATTCTCTTTGTTTGCTTGTCGCTTAGAGGTTTGAAAGGGATATGTCTTTTGCGCTTGAGATGATTATCGTTCTGACTTTCAAAATAATACTTTTTACTTTTCATTTTTTTTCTCTCCTTGGTTGATTTAGATCGTTCGTGCTTTTTCTGCTGTTCTATTGCTGGCTCTTTCACTTGGTGCTTTTGATCACGTTGACGCCAGACCGTCGTTTTTCGCGGGTGGAAGTGGAAAGGTCAATTGTTCAACTATAGAGGCACAAATCCTTGCTCAAGCACCCGTACCTGTGACTGAGCCGAAGTCGTATACTGAGGGCGTCAGATCTCTTGTTGTATGTAACAGAATTATAACTTACCATACTTGTAGGCAAGCTAAAAGCTGTGGAAACCTAGCGGAGGTGAAGGCAATGTACGACTTTTCCGATTGTTTTCCAAAAAGAGTCATGGAGAACCCAGTATGCGGATTTCCAATAAGCTGTTGCTAAAAAGAAGTAGATCAAGTGGAAAAACAAATGTCCAGATGATACATTACAGATGTGACCTTAAATGCATGGATCTTAAACGTCTTGTTTACAAATATACACAACTTTAAATGTTACGTTCTTGACTTACTAGGCACGTTTCCCGTAAGTTGCTTTTGAAGAACTACAATAACTGGATT